AAATTCTGTGTATTGCACTATCATAAAAATATGGAACAAAAGCAATAACCCTATATGTTTGAATATGGGTCAGAAATGGAGATTATAAGAACCGAACTCCATGGAAGTGTGAAATGTAGCCCCCACGGAGACCAGGATGGGCAGCTATCAAGCTGTGTGAGTATAAGACTTCATTTTCTTCATTTTTTTCTTCTTTCTTTTTAAAAATTGTGATACCATTGACACATAACACTGTGTTGATTTAAGGTCTACAATGCGTCGGTCTGATACATTTACAAATTGCAATATTACTACAGTAGCATTTAGCAAACATCTTTATCTGTCACCTGTTTGTCATTTCCAGTTGTGTTGAGAACAGTTAAGGTTTAGTGTCTCAGCCACTCTGAAGTTTATATGTATGGAACACAGCATTGCTGACTCTCACCATGATGCTGCGCCTTACATCTCCAGAACTCTCTTACCTACTAGTGGTACGTTTGTATCCTTAAACAACAGCTCCCGATTCCCCCACCCACCAGACCCTGGTAACCACTGTTCTACTCTGTTTTTACAAGTTCAAGACATCCATTTTTTTATACCAGTTTCACACCCTGCCTTTATATTCTCAAAGTTCAAAAAAAACCCCAAAAAACAAGAAGGAAACACAGAACTCATGAAACAATATAAGAGAATACTGCAAGTGAACTAAAATAACCTGTCGATGCAAATCATAGGTGAATGGTATCAGAGAAGAAACAGAAAGTAAGAACCAGGGAAGCTTGAAATATTTGAACTGATGAGGTATTTTGAGGAGAATGTATAGGTCTCGCTGTTTCTTGGGGAGAAGTTTACTTAGGTTGAGGTTACGCTTTGCTGCAATGAAGATCCTCATGAATATTTCTTTTTTGCCCTCGTGGGGCTTTGACTACTCAGAATATAATTCCTAGAAGCCAGACCAGCGGGGAGAAATAGGGTCAATGCAGTTTGCTGGTTGAAACTCATTACCAAACCACCTCTCATTGGTTGAACCAACTGATACCAGTGATTCTGAGAGTGTGTGTTTTCTTACAAATCTTCACATTGTGTTACCCATTTTTCTGACTGTTGGAAAACTCAGTGAAAATGACAGGGGGCATATCTCAACTCTGAAGGAGGCTGAACATCTTTTTTATATATTTGAATACCTTTTCTAGCCTCACCCCTTTTTTTTTCTGTAGTCTGTTTCGGGGAGTTGGCTATTCATGTCCTTTGCTAGTTTTAATATTGTCAAACAAGAATTGGGAGTTTGAAGTTCCTTCTTTCTGAAAAAAAATTAATATTGTGTGTTATAAATATGTAAGATAATATAACGCATGCCCCTTATCTGTCACTTACATTACCTACATTTTTCTTGCTTTAAACAAATCTAACTTTTGACTTTATGAGTGCTTTCTTTTGCTATTCATATAATAGCCAAATTTGTAATTTTTAGATATTAGATTTGAGATTTGTACCTTGCTTAAAGAGACAGTCCCTACTTGGAAATTATAAAACAAAATGTCCGCATTGAAGAGTCTTACAGTTTCATTTTGAATGGCTGTGGAATTCATCACATACATTTTTAGAATTTCGGACAAGCTCGTGTGCCTTCTCTTCCTGGATCTATTCATACAATGATCTCAGTGACCAGACTTCCTGACATCAAACCATCTTTGCACTCCTGGTCCGAGTTCCTCTTGATCCTGATGTTGGTGCTGTGTTCTTTTAATCTTCTGCCTGGTTCTGTGGGTAAATTCCTGACTCTGGGTCTTTGCACTGTTATTCACAAGTGAAATCAGTCCGGAGTCCCTCCCTCCCCCCAACTCCCAAAAGTAATGCATTAAAGCAGATTTCCATGACAGCACAGGAATGGGGGTTTACATTTGGTTTCCTGCTTTAATGGAGAAAAGCTAGATTCAGGGAGATTGTGTCAAAAGGACAGTAAAGGGAGACCTCAGCAGCATGGTGGTCTGTCTCCAAGCCCTCCTTCCCTGCCAACAAACTAGAATATTTGGTGACTATATTCACTAACCATGAAATGATCTCCTTCTGTTTCCACCATGCATTCAGAGTACACGATGCTTAAATGTCAAACCAAAGCCAGTCTGACAAAAACAAAGCAAAACAGAAAGACCAAATGGTTTTTCAAAACCTTTCAAACCTTTTATTCTGACATGCCAGACTCCTAGAAAAGCCACACCACTAGTACAGTGAAGCCCATGTGCACACTTGTAACAGATTTAGCCATCTTATCACATTTTATGACATCTGCTTTGTTCTCTCTCTCATTTTTTTCCCCTTGAACCATAGTGAGAGTAAGTAATTTCTTTATCAGAACATATTTTATTCAGTGTCCTAAATGTCCCTAAATTGAGGGACTTGTTTTTTTACATCACCTCACTACAATGATCAAAATATCAGTATTATACTGTTATCTAACCGACAGAAATTTTGTAGTCTTGCAATGTCCTGCAATGAAAGGCAATATAAAAGAAAATACAGGGGCAACTTTGCTTACTTAATTAAGGTGATATCCACCAGCTTTCTCCTCTATGACGCTACTATTTTTCCTTCTTTTTATAATTGAAAGTATCTTGCAGACAGACACTTGGAGACCATGAAATTATCTTGTTACTTCTCGAACTTCCAGCGATTAGTTTTAGCCTTCGTGGATGGTTCTAGCCTGATCAGTTATTTCGGAGATTGCTCAACAGTGGTTTTTCTACCTCCGCTCCAACAATTTTCATAAAAGGCAGAGCTGGACTTTCAATTTTTAGATCCTATTTGTTTTTGTTTGGCAAGGTTGCGGGTGGGTGGTGTACGATTTATAACAGAAACAATGAGCAGTTTCAGGAAGTGGTGGTGTCTTCATTTTCTCCCAGAAAGTCTCAACTCAAATGACTGTTTTCTCTATCCCCAGCACAGAAGTCCTGCATTGGGAAGGACGTCCAGAGGACAGCATATTCCCTTTCATGCCTCTTTTGGCCCCTCTGGAATTGTGGTGGCCTTTGAGGTTTCCCTGGGTCAGAGGGAAACCCACAGATCTGGACAGGGTTGCACAAGAAGGAAAGGGGGTGACATTTATGGAATCCACAGGTCTTGATACTCTAGGGAATACTGCTGCTTTTTATTTGCCCTCCATGAGTCTGTTCTTGCCCCACTGCAGACGGAGAGATGTTATTGGACAGAAAATCTGATTATGTCAAGCCTTTCACATCAACCTTCTAGTATCTCCCCATTGCTTGTAGGATAAACGGGTGGAGGGCCCTTAGATGGTATAACCAAGGGTCGTCCTTTCTAATCCTGCCTATGAGTCCAGCTCCTACTCTTTCTGTGCTCCAGCTACAGAGCCTGGTTCACTTGTCGGAACACGCGCCTGTCCTCCTCTGGGTCTTTGCACACGCTGTTCCATCTACCTGGAACACCTCCCGGATGCTTCTGCCCTTGGCTGGCTCCTCCTCATCTGCAGATTTCAGCTCAAACTGACTTGCGGGAGGATCCTTCCCTATTCCCTCCACCCCATCTTATAACACGTACGATTATTTTATCAAGAGTCCTCTCCCTTGCTAGACGGAGAGGTCTACAGGGAAATGGAACGTGTTTACTTTGCTCACTGTAAATCCCCTTTACGGATTGCCTGTTGATCCTTCCATTCCACAAATATTTATTAAGCAACAGATACGTCAGGCCTGGGTGTGAAATCGTAAACAAGACTGACAAGATTTCTTGAAGCATGGGGAAGGGAGAATACACACACATACAAACCAAGGGGGAATTTCAGGTAGAGGTGCTGGTGTGATGGAGATTGCACAGCAGGGACAAAGGGACTGAGGGTGGGGGTGGCATGTGCAAAGCGTGGTCTTGGAGCAGAGAGGTGGGGCCAGGAGCTGGAGGGGCGGGCGGGGGCAACGGCCTGGAGGCAGAAATAGGTTTGGAGGAGGACAGGCGCCCAGCTCCTGACAAACTGTTTAATACACAAGAGGAAGATAAGAGTGCTCTGTTTAGAGCCGCCCGCGTGCTTGGACAAGCGTTATTTCCCTGTACCTCCCCAAATTCGACATGCGGTTATTGCAATGCGTGTTGTACAGGTGAGGCCGATGCAGAGTAAAGTCACTGGTCCAAGGCCACACCGGAAGTGATGGGTGAGGGAGCCGGGTTCTCACTCCGTTCGGGCTCTCCTGCCCTTAAGGACTCTTACCCCTCTCAGGGAGGCGGGTTGACCTTTGTCCTGCTCTACCCGTGAGTGACAGCTGCTTAGACATTCAGGCCCACGGGGACTCTCGGTCTGCGTACGGAAAATCGGGTGTGTCCAGTTGCACCGAATCCAGGATCTACAGCGCTTGGTTTGCAATTTTGCGACTTCTGCACCTTCTCCTTGTTGGTGTCATTTCTCCAAATTGAACCCCAGTCCGCGCCGAGGGGCCCGGGCCGCGCAGCGCACTGGGCGCGCGCGCACGTGGCTGTCCCCAGGGGCCCGGCGCGGGGCTGGGGCCCACGCGGGGGAACCCCCGGGGGCGCCCGCGCGCCCTAGGATCAGATTCGCAGGCAGGACGGGGACGAGGGTGAGGCGATCGCCACATGCCGGGGAGCACCAAAAAAAACCGAGTGGCCGAGATACATCAAATTTTAATACGATATTTCAAAAAGAAGCAAAACGAATCCCTAAAGTCTTGGAGGGCCCAAATAACAAAGCTGTTAAAGAAGGGATCCATCTCGCGGGGCCGGGGTTCGGGGGCGCCCCCTGCGCGCTGAGACGGGAGGCGAAGGGCTGCGACCGGGTCGCGGCGCCCTGGCCGGGCAGGGATCCGAGGCGCCCCTGCGGCTGGGGCGGCCCCCGGGCCTCCGGCGCGGGGCCCAGGGCAGGGCGGCCGGCGGGCGGGGCGGGGCGGTGCCTCCCGCTGCCCGTCCTGCCTCCACCCCTCCCGGGCCCCTCCCGGGCGCCGAGTCCCTTCCGAGTCCGGATCCGCGCCGCCTTTTCCCGCGGCCCGCACGGGGCCCAGCTGACGGGCCGCGTTGTTTACGGGCCGAGCAGCGCCTGCTCCCGCCGCCCGCCCGCCGCCCGCGCGTCTGTGTCCGCGCGTCCGTTTGTCCGGGCGGCCCCACATCGGGGCCCAGAGCCAGGAGGCCGGGGCTGCAGCGCAGCGCCCCGGGCCCGGAGATCGCGGGACGGGGCCCGGGCCAAGGTGGTCCGCGCTCGGAGCCGCGCCGCGGGCTCCTCTCGGCCGAGGCCGCGCGCCCCCCCCCCACACCCCGGGGCTGTGCCCCGGGCCCTACCGGGCGCCGAAGGGGAGGACGCGCGGTCCCCGGCGCCCCTCGGGCGGCAGCCCCGGAGCATGTCCCCCGCACGCCCGCGCCGCGCGCTCTGATCGGCCGGGGCCCCGCGCTCCCGCAGCCATGGGCGCCGGGGGCGTGCGGGGGGCGGCGGCCGCGCCGCTGCTGGTGGCCGTGGCCGTGCTGCTGGTGGGCGCCGCGGGCCACCTGTACCCCGGAGAGGGTGAGTCTGGGGCTCCGGGAGCGGGCGGGGCGGGGCGCGGTGGGGAGGAGACCCTGGCGGGAATGGAGCCCCCAAATGGGGACGGAGAGCCTCCCCGGGCGGCAGGCGGGCGGCCGGGACGGTGGCTCTGGCCCCGCCGGGGGCGGAAAGCTGCTGACCTTGGCCTTTGCCCGCCTGGGCTCGCGGCTCAGCGCCCCGCGCTCGGGCCCCGGGCTGGGGGAACCTTGTCCCAGCGGCCGTCCCGCCGCGGGTGCCTCTCCCGAGCGCGCCTCGGACCCGTGCCGGGCCCTGCCCGAGCCCGACTCGCTCCGGAGACGGAACACGCGGCCTCTCTGGGTCGCCTCCTAGATGGTGGGGGTCACTGGGTCCAGGCGGCCTCGACAGCCACTACCAGCCCGGACTGCACACGGTTTGGAGCCCGGGGTCGGTGCCGATAGGTGCCTGGGGCGGGGAATTGTAGAATCCTCCAGCCCTCTTGGGTCCAGGCCCGTGGTCACCCCGGACTTCAAGCCCCTGTTTACACTTTCGGGTTCTGTTTCCAGATGTCCGGAGACAAACTCCGGCACAGTTGTAGTAGCAGGAGTGGCGGCTTTTATCAGGATTCTTATAGTTAGTGTCACCAAATGCGCCGCGCTGGTCATTCTTCTCTCTCTGGACCCTCACGGTGGCCCCTGGAGAGTGATACAGCTGTTCGCCCATTTCAAAGGGAGCCAACCGAGACTGGGGTGTCGGACCCATAGCTCACTTGCCCCAAAGTACCAGAGGGAGCCTTGAATCTCCAAGGGGTGCTCCCTCAAGGCTCTGGACTGCTGCCCCGTGTCCCATGTGTCCCCCATAACCTCCTGCCTCCGGCTGCGCCCGGCCAGAAGGGGTCTTTACCTGTAGTCAGCCCTGGGCGGCCTCTAATTCTGGGCGAGCCTCTCCTGTCCCCTAGCCCCATGGACCTCCTTCCTGGGCCTCTAGTGCTGGCAGCAGAGGGAAACCCCAGCTAACCCCAGTGTCCTCCTTGGGCTTGATAGCAGCCCTTTCTGACTGTGGGACAAGGAATGAAGACTCGTTTAAGAGAACGTAGCAGAGGTTTCCCACCCTGGTGTCTGAGGCCCTGCTTTAAAAATATCTGTTGGGTTCCCTCTTCAGATTTTCCCATAAAAGGAAATCAGTCATGATGAGGAAGGGGTCGGGAGGGAAGAAACAGAAGCTCCTAAGTTCCTTGATGGTGAATGAGGTACAAGGGGTAAGCACACACAAGCTCTGGCGTTAACAAACGGGGTGTGCCAAGCACCTCTGCCAGTTACGCAGTGGCTCGAACCCCCTAGCGCCTGGTACACAGCGGGTGCTCAGTGAGGGGTGGCAGTTGGTTTGGGTTCTGGTTGAGAAAATCCAAGATGTTAGACTTTGGGTAGGTACTTTGTATTTATAAGTGCGCACGTGTGTATGTGTGGTTCCCTGCTCTTCTGTTCCTTGTAGTTGGTGATTAATTGTGAATGTGTGCCCAGGCTCCCAGAGGTCAGTAGACGGATTTACCACTTCTTTACATATTCACAGTTTCCACAAGGGCTGAGGCTTATATATTTTTTGTTCACTGCTACCTTTTTCAGAGCCTAGAATGGTGCCTGGCGTATAGTAGGTGTTTGGTTCATATTTGTTCTTGATTTGATTCCCTGTTTTTCATGTTTTCACCAGTAACCCAAGCCACGGGCTCCTTTATTCCCTAGATAATACCTAACTAATGCTAATAAGTGCAAACACTTGGCAGGTGCTGCTCTATATGCTTTACACATATAATCTCAGTTAATCCTCGCTGTGACTTTAGGAGGTGGGCTTTATTATCCCTTTCTGCAGGTGGGGATATAGGACTAAGTGGCAGAGCCAGGATTAGAACTCCTGCTAGTCGGGCTGCAGAGCCCTGCTTTCTTCATAAAAGATTGTTCGTTTGGCTTTGAACCTCCTCACCCGTGCCCTGCTATAATGGTTAACAAGACCCTATCAACTAAGTGGGATGTGATACCCCCTCGGAGGTTTGGAGAATGGCGAGAAACTTGACAGATCATTAATCTCCGGCGTTAACCAACGGGGCGTTTTGGCTGGTGTGTGGGGCTGAGGGAGATGAATGTGATTTTTAAGGCATGAAGTCTCCTTCTCGGAGGTATCCTATGGGATACGTCGCCCCAGTGCATTGTCCCGGGTGTCTCTGTTGCTGCGCTGAATTGGGCAACGGCTTTCTCCCCAATTTCTCCTTGGACTGGCTGGCTCTGGCTGGAGATTCCTGGGCGCAGGGAGGGGCTTCGTGGTGTCAGAGAATGAAGGTGATGTGGGATTAATTACACACCCATCGCGCTTTGGTGGTGGTGGGGCGTCCAGTGAGCCAGCGAATTGAGGTGTGAGGCGCTTGCTTCCAGACCCCGGCCCATCTTTGGTGAAAATACTCCTTTCTGGAGGATGGTTCCAGATGTTTCTTATGTGTTCTCTTATGAGCTTTGGGACTCTGAGAGCAGAACTGCTGCCTGCTCAGGCACATCCCTGAGGTTATCCCTAACCTTTACTTCTTTCCTGGGGACCAGCCCCTCATGCCTGCCTCACTCACTCATAGAGGTCATTGGGGTGAGCCCGAAACAGTCCCCAACCCATTGCCATTCTTCACTTGCCAAGGGCAGAGCCCCCCAGCCTCAGCACTCTTGACATTTGGGGCTCCATCGTCTTGGGAGGTGGGCTGTAAAATACTGAGCCCCATCCGGTGGGCTCCACCCACCAGCTGCCACTAGCTCCCGTGCCCATCCAATCACGGCAGCCAGCGTCTCTTCAGACACCGCAGCTGTCCCCCGTTTGAGCACCACTGCCTTTAGGGAGATAACCTTTTCCTTGTCTAAGTCACTTACCACCTGGGTGTCTGCTCTTTCCTGTTTGTTCTAGGATCCCCAGCTGCCCAGGAGTCTTTCTTCCAGCCTACAAACACTCAATATCCCCCACCCCCACCCCGGGCTAACACGTGAGCTCTCTCTTCACAGAGGGCCAGTCCCAGCTCTGACCCTCTCTCAGCCCACCTTTAGTTTACATAGAGTCAACTCCTTCGTCTAGAACAGGGGCCAGTAAACTACAGCTGCAGGGCCAAATTCCACCTGCCCATGCCTGTTTCTGTAAATAAAGTTTTATTGGCACCCAGCCACACACAGGCATTTACGCGTCATTTAAGGCTGCTTTTGCGCTCAGATGGCAGGAGCTGAAGAGCTGCAATCGCGTGGTGCGCCAAAATATTTACGCTTTGGCCTTTCACAGAGGATGTTTCCTGACTCCTGATTTAGAACCAACTCTGTGAGGATCATGATGATAGATGCCTAATAGCCCGTGTGGTCCCTGGTACAACATGAATGAATGAAGTTCAATCAAACACCCCGGAAGGCTGTGTTTTCCCCTTCACAGAGAAAGCCAGATTAAAGAAATTTATACCATTGGCTGCACTGAATATTTGGTTTCTGATGGTGAGAAAATATCAGTAATGCTTCCTCCTTAGCTGTGTGTGTGATCTTAGGGTTTATTTATTTAAAAAGTCATCTTGGCATTGAATGGGAATTCCTTGCAGTCCTGTCTTTCCGTAGAACCCAGACGAATGTGGTGTCTGCTCTGAGATTTTTCACTCAAGACCCCTTGTGTTAAATTCTGTTCACGCATCAGGGGTGGTTTGGTTTATGTTTTGCCATCAGATGCTATTTTATGTTTGTTTTTTTTTTAATTAACAGAACAAGTAATGCATTCTCATTGAAAAAAAAAAAAACCAACGTATAGAAAGGAGACAACAGAAATCCTCCTGCAAGACTTTGTCCCTAAAGCCATTCCAGACTCTCCGGACACCCCTTTATATTACACCAACTCCACTCCCAACCCTTTGCAACGCATCTCTCCTCTGTCCCTACGGTTTTCTCTCTGGACTTTACAAACTGTCTCGTAATTGGATTAATAGTCTTAAAACTGGAAATGTCAATTTAAGCACTCATCAGATCCTCACCATTCATGGATTCTGTATTTGTGAATTTGCCTGGTCCTGAAGTTTATTTTTAATTTCAAGATTGGTACTGAAAGGGCTTTAGCAGCCATTGCTGGGCCTGTGCAGGGCATCAGAAATTCAAATCGCCCAGCTGGCATGATTGGGATCCGCCTTCTCGTGTCAGCTCTGGGAGGGTGGATTCATCCAATCCTTAAGGATTAAAACCAAGTATCCTTCTTTTTTTTTTTCAATGTATTTAGTGCTACATTTTCTGCATTTTTGGGCTTTCTGTCCCTGGGTGTGCTGTTTAGATGGCCCCCACCCATCAAGCTGAAGTGCCGTCTGGTATAAGTGTGAGAAGGCTGCCATGTGCATTATGGAGAAAAATACACGCGTTAGATAAGCTTCGCTCTGGCACCAGCTAGAGTGCTTAGTACTGTTGGCTGTGAGTTCAAAGTTAATGGATCGACAACGTATATTTATACATAAGGTGTCCGTTAGACAGAAACATACACAAGATACAACTGTGTTGGTTGACTGACAAAAATACGTGGCCAGAGCTTGCAGGAACCTAACCTTTTATTTTCCCTGGGGACAGTATGGCTTTTGGGTCCAGAATTTGCTAATTCAGTGTTTGAGGGAACGTCATAGAATGTAACTACTAAAAGTACTGAGGATTGGCTGTAGATGGTTTCCTGTCACTGTGGTTTAAAAATTTGTGAATTTCAGCTTGTCCCTGCCCATGTAGAATCTCTTGGAATGAGCATTCCCTTTTTCTCATGTTTTTATCTCTGCACGAATCCTTGGCTACCTCCTGGAAAGTTCATGGGAGGGCACCAAATCCCTGGCTCACGTTCCAAGGATGGGGGTCTCCCCGAGTTCTGCAGACTCTGGTGCTGGGGGCGGTGGGGCGTGGGTATTGTTGTCATTTCAGGTTTATACGGTAGCTTCTGTTTAGGAACCACAGCCTGTCACCGGGAGATTCTTGCTTCTCTGCTGTGCCTTTGTGGGACTGTGGAAA